CCCTTCCAACCTAGGCCATTCTATGATTTTGCACTTACTCTGACAACTGCTGTCAAAATCCAGTTTAGCACTTCTCTAAATGTTGGCTTCTGAGTTCTATAAGGTACGTCCCATATTTATCTGAAGTATAGTTCTGCTAACATGTCATTTTAGGATGATGATGAAAAATTTATTCATGAAATAGTAAAAAAAAAAACCAAAAACCTACTACGGTAGCATTAAATTATTTAGACAGAAGTTTTCAGGCCAATCTAAGAATCAGTCTTGGCATGGGGGGATTCCAGGATACAGGCTACAACAAGAGATATCGCTGGAGTCCCTCGTTTTTCAGTGTCTTGACCTGAATGCCCAGGGAACCGAGGAGAGGCAGCGTGGGCTAAGGTGGTACAGAGAAAAACATAAAGACTAGTGTCTGTATCATGGTAAAATCACTGCTGAGTAATTTTGGTATAACATGTTTTGAATTTCTTGCTGCCACTCAGTGTATTGTCAGTCGCTGAGTCTGTGATTTTCTTTTAAAAGCCTGATTTATAAACTAAGCAATATACTAAAATATATGCTTTTTTTTTCTCCTAGCTGCCTCAGAGTGTAGCATGCACAGCTGATAGTATGAATTTATTTCTAAGATAAATAAGCACTGTCACTTCTCGTGACCAAAATACAGGTTATGGATATGAAGCAGAAGGGATGCTAGCAGAAGAAAGGATTAGGTCCTGCCTGTATAACTAACAAATACATTTTCAAAGAGCATTCAATTCTTAAATGAGGCTCTTGCTGCTTTTGGGGCTTAATATACCCAAGATCTATGCATTTAGTTTTCACTTGCGTGAAAAAAAAATGCCTACTTTAACTACTGTTCCCTGGTTTTGGGGTAATACACAGCATTACAGCATACATTAAAGAGTTTTGTCCTTTTACATAAGCTTTCTCTAACCTGTGGTTGTGCCAGCTCTTCAAATCAAAACCTTTTTACAAAATTCTGAAACCTTATATATTACAAAGAGGTATCAGCAGAATTAGCCTGATTTTGAGGTAGTACAACGCTTCTGACTTATTCATGTTAATAGTTCAGGGGCTATAGATTAAACATTCCCCACTACTAATTGTGGATTTCTGTGATTCTAAAGCTCCTTCGTAAGTAGGCCTGCACCCTGGAAACCTAAATGTAAGAAATACCTGACTAGGATTTACCCACCTTAATTGGAACAGCTGGTAGATGACAGAGGGGATGGAACTAGAATCTGCACTTGGATTGCTTTTGACAGAGCAAGGAAGATGGCTCGTAGGGATCTCTTACTGCAGAATCATTTCATTTCGACCTTTGCATAGATAATGTGCATGCTATAAAAACTGAAGCATTTTCTTTTGAGCTGGGATTTTATGTTTTCAGAAGTCCATGTGCATAAGTTTGGAGATCAGATATCATTATGCCAGTTATTTTAGGTAATACTCAATTTAAATAATTTCTAGTAATGTCCTGCTAAAAGGTACTTTCTAAACAAGTATGTTCGTACTGTGCATTAGCATGTACACTTATTTTGTGATGAATTCAGTCTAGTGTGCACAACCCACTCCCAGGCTTTTCCCCTGGGACAATTAGATTGAAAGCAACTTATAGTTCTGTTGTTTTTTTTAACAGGATCTCTTGGACCCTGCTCGATGGAGAATGCTGATCCAACAGTTTAGATATGATAACTACAGACTACATCAGCTGGGAAACAATTCTGTTTTTACTATCACACTCCAGGCAGGCCTTTCAGCTATAAAAACACCGTATCCTTTAATGCAGATACTACTGTTGAGTGCAAAAAAGCATTGTGGGTGTTTTTTGTTCTATGGAGGCTTTTCGGAGAGCTCGAAGAGGAAATGTGACACTTGAATATTTTTGCTCATGAGCTGCTTAAATGCAGTATGAATGGGTATCTTTATTAAAATAATTAAGGGGAGATTATAATAAATGGCATTATGATGTTGTTTTTTCTTGAAAAAAAAAAAAGGTGAAATCTGCATTGGGTTTGAATACTAGGTTATCTACCCATGTGCCTTAAGTTTGTGAATATATCTGCAAATGTTAGCGACCTGGGTCAGAATTACTTTTTTGTTTTTAAGCACCTACACACAAATTTATCCTGTCTGGTTTTGTGTGAATGTTCAAATATATCCTGCATCTTTGAAAACTTGGTTGGCTTCACTCCCCAGCGTGGTGTATCGGAGGACTGGTGCTACCGAAGTGTTCTACAGCAGAAACTTTACCTGTAGAGGGTGCCAGATGCTGTTGCTCACTCTTCCTTGAAACAGAGCACGTACTTTATGTGTGCACATTAAACTTAATTAAACAGTCCTGTACATTCTCTAACGCAGGCTATAGTTGCACAACATACTATCTTCTTTTTTTTTTTTCTCCTGACATATATCATTAATTGTTACTGCATCCTGTGGTGGCTGTTCCTTAACTCGCTGTTAAACAGACAGTGTTATAAAGAGGACGGGAGCTCAAAAAACCCAGACTGCCCTGTGTGTAGCAAATCCCTGAACAAGCTGGCTCAGCCTCTGCCTATGGCACATTGTGCCAACTCCCGACTAGTCTGCAAGATTTCGGGGGATGTAATGAACGAAAATAATCCTCCTATGATGTTACCAAATGGATATGTCTATGGATACAACGTAAGTGTTGCAATCAATAAATGACTGAAGTCTAAAATAGCAGTGGTTGTAATAACTTTCTATATCAAAATAAGAGCTTATAAAGAGTCAGCTAGATGTATCTTCTGTATTAACAGAACAAAAATAATGTCTGGAAGTAGTTGTTCAGGGACTATATTTATGTGATTAAATTGGTCTTTAAAGAAGCTTATGTCTGAATATACGAATTTATAACACAAAATCCCTTTGGTGTGTAATAATGTAAAATAAGTAACTTTTGTGAACGATGGTGTTTTGATCTCTGACTACAACATCAGGTTTATTGTAATAAAAATTTTACTTGCTAAACAGTTAAATAATAACATTCACAACAATAACTCAAAGCATGTTTTGATTTCGCTCTTTTTCAGTCTCTCCTTTCTATTCGTCAGGATGACAAAGTAATTTGCCCAAGAACCAAAGAAGTCTTCAACTTCTCACAAGCTGAGAAAGTCTACATCATGTAGGTCCATAAAACATGTGATGAAGTGCCGCTGGAATTTTGACACAGTGTATATTGGCATACCCTGGAAAGGGGGGGGCCTTAATGTGTGGCAAAGAAGCAAAACCTGCCACCTTGGGGATCAGACCTGTCGGTGGCATTATTGTTTCTTGCGACCAAAGATCAATGAGCAACAATAAACACTCTTTAAAAAAGGAGGAAAATAATAAAAGAGGAATTATGACTTAAGTTTGTACTTGAATAAAAACAGAAATTTTGATTGTTAAGGTTTTGTAACATAAGGTCAAAAATTGGACTCTTCTCAAAAGTATTTTCATCTTCTAAAGGATAACTTACTTTAAAGATGGACACTTGCACTGGGGGAAAAGTTAAAACAGATTTGAAATTAAATCCATTTTTCTTCCCTCTTTTTCACAATTGTCCAAGACCCTTTTGTTATCAAAGATTTCAGTACTACCAATATGTTCTCCTTTAAGCTCCTCTTTGCCTTCTTTATGATCCTCTCAGGAAGTAATTCTGAACACAAATTATGTAACTTATTTCCATGGGAACATACTGATGTCTTTGAGACAAGACTGGCTTCTCTGGAGGATCAACTAGGGACTGGTTTAAAGGAGTATGAAGTCTTTTTCCAAACCCAAATATTTTAAGGAGGTTGCATAAGTATCAAGAGGAACTGAGAACATTTCAGGCAAAATCCACTGCTTGTTTAAATGTTCTTTTTCCAGTCTACCATAGTGTTAAAGTCCTTCTAAAGTTATTAGTTATGTGCATAGGGTTCAATATGAAATCATTAGTGCTACTGCCTTATTTCTTGCTTTGAGAATGTACTCACATGAAAATGAGCTGGTATTCTTAAGTGTTGGGCGAAGTTTCTGAAGATGCCTTGCAGGATGATTACATAATTTTAGGGTCTGAATAGTATTCATTACTGAAACTAATAGTTCAGTTTTAACAACTGCAGAACACATCCTTATGACTTTTCAAAGGAATTAAACCATTGTAGTTTAAACAAAACCATATTGTAGAGGTTTGTATTTAGCGCTTATTTTTGCATGTTGATGTTGATTAGCTAATAAAAGATTGTAAATGTAAAACATGTTAATAAAAATTGTTTTCCATTTCTTGATTATATAAAAATAGAAAGCTGCTTTGTGTTGAAGTGTAAAAAAGTTTACTCTTTTATAAGGGTCACTCTTAAATGGAGTGCTACTTAACAGTGTTGTTTTTCAGTGTTCTGCAAGAATAAAAAAAAAAACACAAAAGCCAACACCACCTCACCAGAACCGTAAACATTCTTCTTCAGGCCCCAGACTCAGAGCACTTCAGTCAAATAATGTTTTGGCTTAAAATTTTCATATATGAAAGTACACTCCACTGCAATCTACCTTCCTGTCTTTTTTTTTTCTGTCATTTTCCAGAAGACTGCCTACTGTCCTAGAGACTTTCTGTTAATAGAATTTTGTGGGACGTGCTGGGTGTGAGGTTTTGACGCAGGGCTGAGGGCCAGTGCAGCATGCTGGAAGGGACTGTAACTCCTATTCATGTTCAATGCTTAGAGAGCACAGATAGACAAAGTGATTCCATCAGCTGCTATGGAACTGTGAATACGGTGGGGTTTCCAGTGAGGTATGTCTGAAAAAATTCCATTTTCAGTAAACATCTGTTACTGATGCTTCTGAACTGAGGTATCTGGAAGACTGCAGAGCTGCCAGCTTGGCAGAGACTGGTTCCTGCCCTTAAACCTGGAAGATTTAACCGAGCCCATTACTGCAGTTACTGATGCAAGTTCTCTCATCATCTGCCTTCACCTACTCTTGGCATGTTGACTTTTTTCTAAGGAATCACTAAATCTGCCACTTCAGAAAACACTGAGGGAAATGGAGCCTTCCAGGGCAGGAACCAGTCTTTGCCAAGCTGGCAGCTCTGCAGTGTTCCAGATATACCTGTTCAGAAGCATCGATAACATATGTTTACTGAAAAGGGAGCTTTTTTTGGACATTCCTCACTGGAAATCCCTGGGAAAAAGCAGACCAGACTTGGGAGGAAAACATGAGTTTAATTTACCATCACCAGTTATCAACTAAAACAGTAGGATAGTGAGAGGAAAATACATAAATAAAATCAACCTAATCTTAAATATGTTCCCCTCACTTCTTCCTGACTACCTTCTCCCCCCGCCATTGGTGCAAGGGGAACAGGGGCTGAGGGGTGCGGTCCATCAGTTACTCACCGTCCATGGCCGTCTTGCCTTCTGGGGAAAGAGCGCTCCTCACGGTCTTCCCATCTCACGGGAGGCAAATATCTCCCTCCACGTGAGTTCATCCCACCAGCGTGGGACCAGCCTTGGAGTTGTGGGTTGCTTTGGACACGTCCAGCCTGGTCTCTCTCCTCCATGGCACCACGTTCTCCAAGTACTGCTGCATCCTGGACGTTACGTCTCCCTCGATCTCAGCTGGCGGGCAGTCAGCTCCCTGCCACCTCAGCCACCATGGGGCTCTGGGGAAACACTGCTCCGGTGCCTTTCTCCCCTACTTTCCTCACTGACCTCCCCCTCCTCCAAACAGAAACCCCCCCCAACACAAAAGTCAGGACACGCAGACAGAGAGAGACTCACCCAGCAGGTTTCCCCTCTTAAATACATTGGTTGAGGAGGCACTGAGTGGCGTGGCCTTGGCCAGAGGCAGGTCCAGCTTTTACCTGGGACTAGGGGAGACTCTGGAAGTTTTACAAGAAGACACGTCCCACAGCCCTCACCTTTGCTACCAAAAAACCTCACCAAACTCAAACCCATGATCAACTCTGAAGGGGAGAGGACATCGCCCGGGGGAGCAGCATCTGTTTTGCTTTGGTCACCTATTCACGGCATCACAGCAAAAGGCCAGGGTTAGCTTTGAGGATGGCAGCTTCGTTTTTCTCTACTTTACAGAAATGGGGGAAATGGAGAAGCAGGGAGGAAGAGGAAGAGTTCTTGCCAGCCCAGAGGAAATGCATGGTAACCCCACTACAGTCGTAGGCCAAGGCAATTACTGCTCTTACTTCTCAAAGTACTAGTTAAGAGCTATGGTGTCCTGGGATTTCAGCCCTTTTTACTTTCTGTGGCCTAAGCAGAGGGATGGAGAAATCCACGTTTCCAAAAAAAACCTAGTTTGGGATGCGAGGGAGGAGAGCAGCCGTCCCACAGCAGGAGGGCCGCGTCGATGGGAAGTGTCGTTTCAGAGAGCCAGATGCCAACACAAGGTCTGAGGCCCTGACAGTGCGTTAGGAAGAAGATGCTCAGAGCAAGCCTAGGGCAGCTTCAGCTGGTTGATAGCCATGATTCCTCGCTTTAGAAATCTGCACTCAAACAACGTATTTTGACTACAGCAAGGCCTGTTTCATACAGGAGGTGGCCGTAGCCTCCTGGCTGGCCAATGTGAACTGTGCCCAGCACATGTACCCAGAGCCTGCCTTTTATACTCAGGCCTGCTCTGGCAGGGCTTTACAAGATCCTGTCAAACCGTCTCAATCGAGCAATATCTTGCATAGCAGTAAGATCATAAAACATAGGGTGGGGGATCAGTTATACAGTTATAACCACATGTAGAAACTTCCACAAATACAGCCATAACCTGCTATACCGAAGCCAGGTCTTTTCTGCCAGTTGTACATCTGGTTGTGGTACCAGCAACACCTGTGTTTCATATTAATCAAAAAGTGGCCATCACCTACTTTAGATGAGAGTCCTAGTCATCTTTATAGATACCCTGCATCATCTAAATGCCTGGCAGCGTGCTGAGGTGGAAGACAGAAGACAATTTATTTCTTTAAGGCTGCAAATTAACACTTGTACATTGAAGGACGTCCTTTTGAAATGGAAGAGGTTGATAGGAAAGCGAACACTATTGGCTCGCAAGATCTGGCTGGGCTGGAAACGAGCAGTAACCTTTACTGGGATGATTTTTCCAGTCTTGCCAAGCAATTTAACAAAATGAGACTTGAGCTCCAGGTTTTGGTTATGGTGCTCCTGTTTGAAGACAACAGTTTGTTCCATTTGTGGGCAGGACAGGTTTCTCTGATTTCCACAGTTACACAAAGTTGAGAATTGCCTTAACTTTTCCTTGTGTTTGTTGTGGTCCAAATCCTTAATGCTGAAGAATCTCCAATATTTCTCACAGAGAGAGGAAGTACTGGTAACTGTCCATGCTGGTAACGGTTTATGACTCTGTAGGTTTCTTCGATGCCTGTTCCAGCTTGAAGTATTCCATGATCTTACCAGGCTGAGAAGGGTAGAAAGTGCTGAGATCCCATCACTTTGTAGGTAGGAAGTAGCAAAGCTGAAACCACACTCAGGCAAAACATTTTTCAGGAAGCTTTAAAGACTGATTGGCTGTTACAGTTTTGAGGAGTTTTTTAATACTGTAAGCATGTCCTTTCCTACTCATTAACAAGATTACTTCTTGAAAAAAATATTATTTGGGACAGGAAGAATGAGAAAATAATGTACGGGTGGTAATCTGCCAAAAGGAAGCCTTTGAACATGCTTCAGGGGGGAAAAAGAAAAGTAAAAAAAGCAATACTTTGGCTTTCTTTTTTTTCTGCTTTGGTTAGCCAGAGCAGAGTGTGTTGGGAGACACATGCTTTGAGGCCCATGACTACACTGTGGGTTTGTGCACTAGGTGTCTTGTAGCATGATACAGAGGTCATCCAGTGTAACAAAATGGGTATTTAAAACTCTTCCAACTACTTTTTCCATGTTCTGTAATGAGATATCAGGTTCTGATCAGCATGTTGTTTCTTCCTGCTGTGTCCTGAGGTCTGGAGCACCATTAACACTAGGTCTCCAGCCCAGATCAACGGGACAGTTGACCAAATCTGATCTTTATCTGGTCCTTGAACAGGTAAACTGCAAGTAGTTTCTTGAATGCTACAGTAACTACTTGTTTGTATTTGATGATGAGGGGCATCTGCAGGTTAGATATTCACCAGGATCTCCTTGCCATTATGCTTTTCCAAAAAATTCACCGTCAGGCTGGTTCTGCAATACACATCAGCCATGCTGAAAGGCAGCATTTTTTATAATTTATTATTAAAGACTTGGTCCTGTTAGCTAAGCTTTGAGAAGTTTTCAGCAGCTCAACTTTCTCCTTGTTTTAGGAAAAGATCTAAAATGGGCAGAGGTGGACAGCAGAATCTCTTCCTATCTCTTTATTAACACATCTTCTTCTTATAGCCAGATAGGTTCTGTAAGTTGAATAAAGATTCTGTAGCACACAGGGGAAGAAAATTTGCACTCATGGCCAGAGGAGGGAGCAGGAAGCTATAGAGCCCAGATATTGTTGGATGTGGGGGCTGAACTGGTTTTTGGCACGGCAGCTATAGAGCCAACAGAAAGTAATTCTACATTACAGTTGGCTTTTGCGATAAGTTCAGCGCATATCTGAGCTAGTCATTGAAAAAACCCCTCATCTTAGGAGCTCTAATCTTGATCTCAGTTTGGACTGAAGTTCTAAGACTCTGTAAATGGAAATTCTTAATTTCAAAAATTAAATTAGTCCTTATCATTACTTGCTAGCAACAAGTTAATTTCACTGAGGAGCTCACAATTTTAATAAGATATTTCAGGCTCCACCATAAAATCCTGCTATTTGATCATGTTAAAATTATCAGAGATCTGTATCCTAAGCCAGAGGAAATCCGCTGTAGGATAATTAGCACCCCAAGAAGAACAATAGGAAATAGCAGAACAAGGGGAAATAGAAAGGGCTGCTGAACAAGAAAAGCTGTTTGTTTTGACTTATTAAAAATGAGAACAAGTGTCAGGGTAGAGTTAAGAAATGCTAACAGCCGGGTACTTTCAAAGAGATTAAAATAACTGCAGAAGTTTTGACAAGTGCAAGTAAGAGGAAAAAATTAGCATGAAACTGCTGCGTGGTAGAGATCTGGACTTGGTTACAAAACTGCACCCAGCGCCTTGCTGCTTGCTTCTGAAAAGATGGCAATTTTCAACATTGGTGGGCGGGCTGGAGAGGGAGCTATATGGGGAAAACCAGAAATAACTTAGCAAGGTGGAACTGAAAAACGTGCACAAGTTACAGAAACGAGGTGATCGGTCTCCTGGAGTTG